TTGGGAAAAGAAATACCTCTCGGATTAACTTTGCAATTTAGTTACTAGGATTTTGGTTTGAATTGTGAACCTTGATGACCTTGAAATTTATTTTGGTGCATATGATAAGGAAAAGTTGTACTTAAATATGTGAACCTGTGTTTATAAATTGTTTATGACTTCAATTAGATCTCGATTTGTCCATTTTTCAGTAGTTGGATGGCAAGTTTTTGTTTTCATGCATGACAAAGTATAGAAGAGTGAATGATGTTCATTAGTAATTCTAGTTTGATGCATAACCTCTTTGTTTCACAAAAGCATGGACAGAGTGATTAAACCAGCAGATGATTTTCCAAAGAAATAGGTGTAGATTAGTTTGGAGTTATTTTGTGTTTCTAAGTTAGAGTTGAATTTTAAATATTCTGTAAGCTAATGCATGTAGTAGAAGTAGTAGTAGAGTGCAAGCATAAAACAATTACGATTATTATAAGAAATGACTCATTTGCAATGTCATGTTGCACTTTTTGTAGATATTGAGATGAAATGTTGGTCACTGTCTTGTGATGAAGTGTGTTATCTACTACTATACTACCTAACTAAGTAAGTTAACTACTACCACCCTTTACTCTAATTTACCCTTCATCAAACATTCATTTTATACTACAAATTGAATATAAGTAATACACATATTAATGAGTATCCCTATTGCTCCACGTCCTTTCTCAGCCACGTGTCATAGGTTCATTCGTTCTCATTTCTCTCTTTCTCATTTACTCATTTTACAATTTCAAAATTCAAAATCTCATTTCTCTCTCTTTCCTATTTTGATTTTGGATCTGGATTCTCTAGCGATCAAACGGAAACTTTAAAGTAATTTTAACTTGTTTATGACCATTTGATAAATTGGAGGGTTGAAATAACGCCAAAGAGAAAAATGATAGGATACCAATCCAAACCTTTTTTTGGTCAACTTGCAGTTTTGGCCGCCTTTACCTTGGCTCTTCTGGCCACAATTCCCTCTCCTCCCTTGGTCATGGTTTCCTGTTGCCTTGGCCGGAGCTTCGATGGACCTAGTTGCGTTTCAAGCCAAGTCTCTTTTGTATAGTTTCAAACTTCAAAGCGTTTGTAAAAAAATCTATCTATGATGTTCCTCTCTATTATTTCTTCTGGTTTACTAGCCCATGCTTTTTTTTTAGTGGCTCTTTTCTTTTAATCATGTACACATTTTTTTTATGATCACGATTCTCATTTCAATAATGGAAATACGTAAAATATGAGTGTAGAAATTAACAAAAGGAGAATGTTAGTACCCAAAATATCTATAGTATTTTATAGGAATCTTTTAGAAATCTGTGTTTGGCTTAAAACCAGATTGTTTGCAAAAGATTGAAGAGATGAGAAAAAAAAGTTTTTTTTTATGGTTTTTGGTTTGACAAGACTTTCTGAGCCTCGTGCCTACGTACCAACAGAGTTAACAGAGGATCAAAACCTTGTAGTTTGTGGTAAGAATAACAAAAGTGTTTGTTTTGATTGATTTTAAATGAACAGAAATTTTGTCATACTCGATTGGAAACTCAACTTACTGCCCACAATTAATGAGAAATGAGCATTTACATCACATTAAGATGAAAGATTTTTGCTTGGATTGAAATCAACAAGTCTATCACTCAACATCTAAGTGAAAAATGTCATCACTTCTCTACATTATTGTAGAAGTATAGGAGTTGCATCACTACAAAAACACAACTAGTGATTATCCTTAAGAAAAGGTTTTTAAAGGAAAAAGGTGTACAAAGACACAACATTTGAATTAGTTTTGAGTTTTTTAAGTCTTTTGAAATTGTTTTGATATGCTTAAGACGTCTTAACATTTATTTTTAAAAAGGGTTTTGAAAATCACCGACAAAGTTAAGATTTATTGAGAAAGTGATTCAAGTTTGAAAACAAGAAGGTTTTGAAAAAGGGAGAAGATTTTAAAAATTTAAGAAGGGGAGGATGTGAAGAGACTATCCTAATGCATAAAATAAAGAGCAAGAAATAAAAGGTCTCATTGTAAGGTAGCCCAAGAGGAAGCCTTTGTTTGTGCATTGTGAACTAACCAGAATCTAGCCAGCACTTGACAAGAGTCAAAACCAAAATTGCATTCCTTTGGAGTAAGCCATAAGCAACAATCAAGCATAGGATAAGACAAACATCAGTTGAAAGAAGACCCCAAACCATAAGGTCGAAGCTATGTATCAGAGCCAAATCTTCAAAGGTCGACCAAAAGTCTCAAGTATCAGATGAATCAAATAACATAGATAAAAGTAACCAATGTCCAAAAGTCCAACTCCAAGTCAAGTAAAGGATAGTGACCATTAGTCCAAAGATTAGAAAACCAAGTTTTTCAGGAGTTTTTCCTTTATTAATGTCTTTAAAAGAAAAAGAAAAAATTCAAGTGGACAAAGAAAAAAGAAGTATAAACATAAAGAAAATCAAATGTAATACTAAAAGTAAAGACATGAAAGTAAAGAGCAAGAAATTAAATGACATAAAGTAAAGTTAGCACAATAGTAATGTTAGTATTGATGTTAGAGTTAATGATCCGATTTCGGGACAAATTTAGCGCTATGTTAAGCAATTGTAGCACAATCTATTAGGAGGATCATACTATGGGAGACCGATAATAATAATTTATGTACCATACATGTTAGATATATGTAGAAATCATACTCTTAAAATATGTAGCATAAGTAAAAATCAAGGAGGGATCAAGCACTAAGTTAAAGAGATTGGTCCATTACATCAATCATTATTCATGATAACTTAGGACAAACTTATGTATCAATTCAAAGTACCTAAAATAATCCATGATCAATTGGAAGGTAGAATTGAAATGATGAAAGTTCATCAAACATCAATTCAAACTTCATGAACGAGATGGACACTAAATCATCCAATTGATAAAGAGAAAAGAAAAAGGAAAGAAAGAGAAGAAGATGAAGAGAGAAACCAAATTGAATCATGACTTGAGATTCATCTATTATCAATTTCAATCACCTTTGTTGGTGAATTAAGGTACTAAACATGTCATTCAATCCAAAGTACTAAAAATGATCCAAATTATCATTTAGTAATAAGTTTGAATTGATGAAGATTCATTCAACCTCATAAATACCCAAAGTTCAATGAGATTGAGGAAGATTTTGATCAATCAAGCTCTAATCCAAGTCAACAGGAGTCAAACAATATAAAATGCAATAATAAACAAATAAAATGCATGAAATGATTTTTAAAATGAAAATAAAAGAGAAAATAAAAATGAAACATCTAAACATCAAACAAAGACTCAATAAAATCAAGATAGGTCAGAAATAAGTCAAGGATCATAGTATCATTTTTGGAGATTTTTAAAATGCACAAAGGTATTTTTAAACAAATTAAAATGCATGAAAAAAGAGAAAATAAATGAAAAATATCAAATTATGAAATAAAAATGTGGAAAAAAAACAACACTAGGTAAAAAATATTTTTAGAAAATTATAGAAAAATTTTGAGTGAAAAAAGTTAAGGGAGCTATTTTTTATGATTTTTTTTAAATAAATGAGATTTTTTAAACAATTAAAATGCAATAATAAAGAGACAAAATATCACAACTATTGTATCAGATCAAAGGACAACATTCACACACATACACACACGCGCGCGCGTGGCCATCAAATCAATATTAAACACATCCAAGGGTCATGATCTAAAGAAACATGGTGGACCTTAAGTGAAATAACGCGTTGGATCATTTTAAAATAAAACAAACTCAGGTCGCCGCTGCCCACTTCCAGTCATCTTCTCCAGTGAGCTGCTCATCGAAGTTTGGCAAATGGCAAGCTTAAATCATGAAACCACCACTATTAAAACCGTATCATCCGTGCGAACTCAACTATATGCTTCATTTTCATTTATTGAAAACGAGCATGGAGAATTTTGAAGAAAACTCAGTGAAAATGAAAATCTGAAAAGAAAAATTAAATGCTATACAAGATCAATCAAAGCAAGATAAGTTAGGGGGAAACATCAGAGAGTATCAGGCTACATTGTGGTAATTTGTTTGAGTGAAAATGAAGCCTCAAACTACACTGTCCAAATACGATCAGAAGAGGCTGCAAGGTTGATTTGGTTAGCATGATTCAGAGGCTCTCAAGGCTTGGGAATTGTTGCAATAGATTCAGAAGATGTCGAAGGCGCTAATGGAACCAAGAAATGGAGTTGAAATTTCTTAGAATTTGAAAATGAAATCTCAAATTTTTAGTGAAAAGTGTGAGCTCGAGCAGAGGTTTTGGGGGATATCCAAGCTTGAAATTGAGTGCAGAAGCTTCCTCTATTTATAACAGAGGAGAATGAATGGGATACGTGTGGAAATTAGTTGCAATTTGTGTGAAATCATGTGCACCAAAAATGTGATCATTCTTGGTTGTGAAGTCACCAAAACGCAGCTGAATCCTTCATAATTTGGGTCGTTTTTTATTCTCAGGTATCACTTAACATCATCATGGATAAAACATATGCAAAACTTGGCTCAATTTGGAGAAATTTGTGATTTGCAGATTCTGACCATGAGTAATTTTCAGTTCCAAGCAGCCATGTTCGAACCAATGGGAAATCTTATACACTTGACCTTTAATGCTCATTATTTTTGTAAAATGATCACATCATAACAAAGAATACAATGTAAAAATAAATATTTCATTTGGATGCTTGAGCAAAAAGTTATGTCCTTGTAAAGTTGGCATCATGACTTGTAATTAGAGGTCAAAATAATTCTAAGTTCAAAATGACATATAATGTCTTCAAACTTTTCATGGCTATCCAAGCATAACTGGCCTTTGATCCTTTAAACAAACTTGTGGATAGAATTAAATATGACAATTGACAAAAAGAACCACCCACAAAAGTTAAAATTTGAGAAAGTTATGATCTTTGAAAGTTAGGAAAATATCACTTGAGTTTAGGTCAAATTTCACTAAGTCCACAAAATGACCTCTAAT